CAACACATTACAACACTCGCAGCTAAGAAGGGAACACACATCACAAGACGCGGTTTACACAGAAAATAAGAAAAACGACCCCGTAGTGAACGAACCACATACAAGTTTTAATTAAGACAAATAAGATGAATTATCTTAAAAAGTTTTAGCGAGTGTAAATTTATCATAGTTGACAAACACGGACTTTTAAATACTTTTTACATACTTTTTAAATGGTTGGTGAAAACATATGAAGGCAGGCAATGCAATAGATTGACGTAGTTGGGACACCTGATGATGGCACTGTGTTGCTGAAACATGTTGTGGAGTGACAGGTGAAATTGTGTGCACTACAGGACGGCCACTGTATACATATAATGGATAATAAAGCAAGAGAGGCAGTTTTTTGGATAAATAAGTAGCAGTAACATGGTCACACACACCAAACTAACATTTCTGCCTATAATACTGTATTACTATCTTCCTGTTATGTTTCGGTCTTTACATGTATAGATTTTCACTTCAGTCCTGACATGCTCAGATTTTCACTTCAGTCTTTACATGGACAAATTTTCACTTCAGTCCTGACATGCACAGATTTCCACTTCAGTCTTGACATGCACAGATTTTCACTTCAGTCTTGACATGCACAGATCTTCACTTCAGTCTTGACATGACCAGATTTTTGTGGCATAACCTCAAGAGAAAAGACTATATGAAAGAGCCAAGCATGGATGATAGGGCAGCAGAATGGATGTCAGAGAAATGCTGTAACTTGCTTGCTACAACTGCACAGCAACAGGTCCTTGCTCTTATGGCAGACGAGTCACTTGAGGTCTCGTGCTGGTGAGTCACAGGCCTGAAACAATTACATGAATAGCATTAAAAAACAGGTTCTGATTTGCATGCGGATCTGTATTATTGGTTTCAAACTTGATCTACTTTTAATTTCAACAAAATGTACAACTTCTATGTGGCTTGCATTGACACAAAAAATTATGGTTACATAACATTCCTACATGATAATATAAAATATATTTTCTGGTATTCTCTGGTTCAGTTTTTGCCTCATACTAAATATATTTTCTTCATATATATCTCCATATTAGAACACTTTAAAAATACATAAAAGCAAAAACTTTAGCTCCTTAAAAATGGGAAATTCAATTTTTCCATTCCATTACAAATGCAAGCCATGCAATACTGAACTATTTAAACATTTAATGAGAAACTCATGCTTATTTTCCATTTCCACATTCCTGTCCAACCAAAATTCCAAGTCAATAACTATATAATGCTCTGCTCTACATTTCAGTTACTACAGAAAAAACACGATATCCAGCCACATTTGTAATTTTCACTGTTTCACAAACTCTGATGTCAGTACAGCTTTTATAAAATGCAGTTATCTACATCAGACTACTAGCAGAAACCACATATTGGTTCTAGAAGAACTGGAAACAAAATGGAACAAAAATATTCAAGCATAATAAACGTCAAGAGAAATCAGCTCATAAAATGAAAATGCTGATCTTCCCCAGAACTTGAGATATGTATCAGTTCCATCATTACCAAAAAAGTGTTAACACTCTGCTCAACAATTAATAAAACGTGGCTACAAACCACTCAAAAAAACTGTGCAAGCCATGGAGAAAGGATGGGAGTCAATGCAAACTTTCATATTGCAAAATTATTTGCAAAGAAAGCAATTCAAGCAGTGAAGCTTCATTGCTTACAGTTCACTATGACTAAGCTCATACCAATACAGAAAAGTGTTTAACATAAAATTTGTACCTAATCCTTCCGGCCGCACTAGGCCCTGGGGTTTACTCAGCCTCTAACAGAAATGAGTACAAGGAATCAATTAAATAATTTTCCTGGGGAGTGAAGCGCAGCCGGCGCATAAGGCTGACAACCTTACCGCCATCTTTGAGCCGACTGTCAAGGTAATGTGGGGCCCTTAACGTCTCACAACCCTATGGGCCTTCACAGCCTGTTACAGGGATAGCTTTACTTTTTTTTTTTTTACCCACTCTCCTACAACACCAAATTTCATGAGCCAAATACAAACTCAACTATGCTGTGAAGTGTTGTTTCATAAGTACCTGTAATATAATTAATCTTTCCTTCTAACAAATATCTCCAACATATGATCCCATAATGGCATACTTCAAATTCTTACTTTCTAACACGAATTTTAGGAGTATTTATTATTTTGCATATAAAATCAGCATTTATAACTTTGTCATCACATGATATATGTTTCGTTCCACAGCATACTAACTGAGTCTGTTAATTCTTTCGGTCACAGTGACGGGCTTACGTTTACAACCACCTTGGGGCTGTAGCACAGACATGTTAAATCATACCCCAATTGCAGCACTGCAGTTGCACTTCTATTAACAGTCTATACGATTCAAAGTTATATATTTACCATGGTGTACAATGAAAAATATTTGCAAATATTTGATCCTACATACGGATCAAATATACACAAAACAGTAAAACGCTTTCAGAAATACTTCAACAATATTTATACATTACAACCATATCACACTATTTCAACGTACGTAAATATTACCGAATATTACTAATTAATTAAAAAAAAAACCTTAGAAATAAGGATAATAGCATAAATAATTTTAATATTGCATAATTTTATGTATAGTGATGTAAGACTGTAAATTTAACACATGTTTATTTTTATACAGGTGATGAATTCTTTAGTAACAAATTTGCCTAGAAATAAGGATAATAGCATAAACAGTTTTAATATTGCATAATTTTATGTATAGTGATGTAAGACTTTTTTTGATATAAATTTAACACTTTTTTTTTTAAATCTATTTTAATGATTATAAACTGTATTTGTATTGTACTATGTTAATTATTGGACTGGTTTTTATTTTATGTTTATGGATTTATGGAATGTAC